CACAGAAGGGGATTTGACCTATTCCAGGCCTCAGGGCCTAGGGATGTGATGAGGGACTGAGAAGAGAAAGCTGAGTAGGGAGTAATTGGGTGAAGAGGAGGTAGTATCAGGTGGGAGAGTGTTCCAGGCAGAAGGAATAGTATATGCAAAGGCCCTGTGGCAGAAGGAGATGTGTACGGCACTCAAGGAACAGAATGAAGCTGTGCAGCTTGAGCCCAGAGCCAAGAGGACAGTGATACAAGGGGAGGTTAGGGAGGCCACGGGAGTTTTTGTCCCTTTAAGAAGGTGATTCCAGATACTACTCAGGAGGGATGAGGTGTCCATCAACATGTATGCTCCTCTCAATTTCTCTCTGGCTTTCGGGAGCCTCAGCCCCCACCCCTGGAAAGGGCAGCTCTGTAGACTGCCCCAGCTGCCTGAACCAGAGGAGGACCTGGGGGAACCTCATCTTGCCATGTTATGAACCCAATCCAGGAATCCCTCAAGAACAGAATAGACAGTCATGGAGGCTGAAGGCAGATGGTAGTGGGCTCAGGTCAGGGACCCATAGTGGAAGGAAGAGGGGCCATGAACAAGCAATGCTGTAGAGATGCCAAGAGAGGAGGAGCAAGGGCCTTGGAGCCACCAGCAGCCTCACAACTAGCCCACCACTCCCCTCCCACCTTCTTTTCCCTAGGCCCCTGGAGCCAGGTCACAGTGGCTCCCCAACCCAGAGCCCCTTGAGTACAGAGGTGGGCCCTGAAGCAGAGGGAGTATTAATGGATGGATGGGTGTCTGATGGATGGGTGTCTGAAGGATGGAGGAATGAATGAGCAAAAGAATGGCCCCTAGTCTTCTCTCTTGAGCTTCATGGAGCCCCCCTGGCCTTCCCCACTGGTGGCCCTAGTGTCCTCAGGGAGCCAGGCCACTGCAGGGCAGGCCGACCTAGGTGTCATGGAGCAGAGGAGCAGGGAGCTGCCAGGCGGGAGACCCAGTGCCTGTGGCACTCACTCCTTCCAGCTTGGCTTTGACCTGGTTCCTTGGGACACAAACAGGTCTGATGAGTTCCTGGGCAGCCGAGTCCCTGATTTCCAGGAAAGCCAAACTCTTAGAGAGCAGAGGGAGCAAGGCCTGGGCAGGAGGCCTCTTTCAGTATAGTTTCCATCCTCGGGCCTCTTTCACCTGTGCTCACAGAACTTTTCCCTTGTGTCCTGAACTGGAGAGCTCCAGGCTTACGGGGACACTCTTTTCCCACTTCCCTAGAGTGAACAAGGAGCTTAGGACAGTGAGGGGCAAGGAACGGTACCTCCGTGTTGTGACCCCAAATTCAGTGCCTGCCCCTACCTCCCTCGGCTTTGGGTGGCAGCATCAGGGAGCGTTTACAAATGCAGGCTCAGAGCCAGGCTACCTGCGTTCCACACCCAGCTCTGCAGTGAACTTGGGCAAGACCTGGATCTCAGTTTCCTCTCCTGAACTCACAGGGATAAGATGAATAAGAACACAGGCAGACCTTAGCCTGGGGCCTGGCACATCAGATCCCATGTTGTTGGCATTTCTCCACTCAATCTTCAATCTCACCAAAACCTCCAGCCCTCAGTTCCCACCACTCAGCCAGCTGACTGCCATCTGTGCCCGGTTCTCCTTCTAGTCTAAGTGCTCAGGTTGGTTCATGGGTTCTTCTTGTCCCGCTGCCTGCTCTCCCTGCTCTGCCTCATACAGGCCCTGGCTCTCCGTCCCACATCGGCCACTGCTTCCCTAGCACCCACCTGCCTCCAGGACCTCACCACCTCACACTCCACAAGCCCCAACCAAACCTAGCCCTCTTCCCAGAGCCCTGTTCCTGGAGTTCTCCACCCCAGGGCACTGTGCCATCAGTCACCAAAGCTGAGTCCCCTCCACACCCATTATATCCACCCTACTTTCTGACCATGCTGGTTTTTTTCTCTTTTCCGTCCTTTCTTCCCTTCTTCCTCCCTCCTTTCTTTCTTTTTTCTCTCTTTATTTCTGTTTCTTCTTTCTCTTTCTGTCTTCCTTTCTATTGGAATATATAACATAAATATAGTAAAAGGCATTAATTGCATGAATCTTAAAGGTACAGCTTGATCACCTTTCACATATGTTTACACCTGAGTACTCACCAACCCACATCAAGACAGAGGCCATCCCCAGCTTCCATAGGTTCTCTTGTGGTCCCTCCCTCCCCCATCCCCACCCCGAGCTCAACCCCAGAAGTAATTATTATTCTGCTTCTAACTCCATAAGTTAGTTTTGCCTGGTTTTGAATTCCACATAAATGGAATCAGAAAGTATGTACTCTTAGACATAGAGTTCAGTGAACTAAAAATGAGTCCAGAAATCAACCCATACATCTCTGATCAATTGATTTTTGGCAAGGATGCTAAGACCATTCAATGGGGGAAAATAGTCTTTTCAATAAATGGTGCTAGAAGAACTAGATAAAAAATAAAGTTGGACCCCTAATTCATACCACAAACAAAAAAATAACTCAAAATGGCTTCAAGTCCTAAATTTGAAAACTAAAAAACTCTTAGAAGACAGAACATGCATTAAAGAATACTATCAAGAAAGTGAAAAGGCAACCCACAGAATGGGAGAAAATATTTGCAAATCACATATCTAAAAAGAGTCTAGTCTCTAGAAAATATATAGAACTATTACAACGCAACAGCAAAAAAGAGAACCCAATTTAAAAATGGGCAAAGCACCTGAATAAACATTTCTCCAAAGTTATACAATGGTCAATAAGAAGGAAATAAAGAGCTCAACATCATTAATCACTGGAAAAATTCAAACCATAACCAAAATGAGACACTACTTCGCACCCACAAGGATGACTGTAATTTTTTTTAAAGGAAAGAAAAATAACAAAGGTTGATGAGGATGTGAGGAAAGTGGATCCCTTAAACATTGCAATGGGAATGTAAAATGGTGCAGTCACTTTCAAAAAGTGCTTTGAAAAGCAGTTTAGCAATTCCTGGAAGAGTTAAACATATAGTTACTATATGATCCAGCAATTTCTCTCATAGTTATATGCCCAAGAGAATTGAAAACATGTTCACACAAAAACTTGTACATGCATGTTCATAGCACTCTTATCCATAATAGACAAAAGGTGGAAACATCTCAAATGTCCATCAAGAGATGAATGGATAAACATAATATGATATAGCCATGCAATGGAATATTATTCAGGTATAAAAAAGAATAAAGTATGGCCCGGCCAGTGTGGCTCAGCGGTTGAGCGCTGACCCATGCACCAAGAGGTCGTTGGTTCAATTCCCAGTCAGCTCACATGCCCAGGTTGTGGGCCTGATCCCCAGTGAAGGCATGCAGGAGATGGCCAACTGATGTTCTCGCATCAATGTTTCTATCTCTCTCTCCCTCTCCCTTCCTCTCTAAAAATCAATAAAGAAAAAAAAAATTTTTTTTTTAAATAAAGAACTGCAACACAGACAAACCATGTAAACTTTATGCTAAAAAGCCAGACACAGAGGCCCTATATTATATTTTTCCATTTATACGAAATGTTTTGAATAGCAAATTCACAGAAAAAGAAAGACTGGTGGTCGCCAGGAACTGGGTGCAGGAAGGATAGGAAGTGACTGCTAATGGACTTCTCCAGTTGATGAAAATGCTCTGAATATACATAGTGGTGATGGTTGCACCACCCTATGAATGTACTTAATTCACTTAATGTCCCTGAATTATATACTGTATAATGATGAATTTTACGGTATACTTATTAAAACATTTTTTTTTAAATTAAAGTATGCTCTTATAAAAATTTAAATAAATGAAGTAAGTTCTTTCGTGTGTGTCTTCTATGCAATATAATACATGAGAGCATCGCCACGTTGCATGTGTATCGGTAGTTTACTCTCATTGCTGTGTAGTATCCAACGCACGAACATATTTTCATTTATTTTTCAGTCTCCTCTTGGTAGACATTTGTCTTGTTTCCAGTTTGGAACTTTTATAAATCTGTAAATTCTTACACACGTCTTTCAAAGGATGTCTGATGGACATTCCGATGGTATATACCCAGGGAGGGGCCTGCTGGCTCAGGATATTCGTGTATCTTCACTTCAGTAGATACTGCCAGAGTGTTCCAAAGTGGTTGGCCCATTTTATACTCCTGCTACCAAAATCAAAGAGTCTGTTTATTCCACATCATCAACAATACTTGGTATTATCAATGTTTTTACTTTTAGCCATAATGGGTATGCACCTAATGGAAGTGTTCCTTTGCGTTTTTCTTACGAGAAATAGGTTAAACATATTTTCAGGTCTTTATTGGCCATTTGGATATCCTTTTTTGTCATCTCCCTGTTTGTTTTGGTTATCTTTCCAGTATTGATGTGTAAGATTTTTTAAAAGTATATTTGGGACATGAGATCTTTGTCAAAATCTGTTGTTGCCAATATTTTCTCCAGCCCAGTGCCTTGCCTTTTCATGTTGTCTTTTGCTGAGCGTAAGTTTTACGTTTTGATGGAGTCCAATTTATGCACCTTTATTTTATGGTTGGTGCTGCGTGTGTGCTGTTTAAGAACCCTCGGCCTATTATTTCGACAGTCCTTGAATCGATCTCTCCTTTCCCCCTCCTTTGCTTCTGCCCGGTTCCTATCTTCCAAGTCTCTCCTGGACTTGCTTCCCTCTGTGTCCCCACGCCAATTCTTGTCCCCTCACTGCATCATCTTCCCGCCCAGGGACCAGTCTGGCCAATTGCTGTGTCCCTGGGACTGGCAATGAATCTGGCACACACTAGGTGCTCAACAAAGGCTTCATAAATGAAGGCAGTGTCCTGTGACCCAGCTGGGGATCATTAAACCTGTCAATTAGTGCTAAACACTAACTCATCAGGAACATTTGAGCAAAACCAGGGAAGTAAAAAGTTTTGGAAAAATCAACAACATAGGAATGTTTAGCTTTCTCCCCAGCAGGAGCATTAATCACAAAAACTCAGACCTTGTTAGCATTATTTATTCTTGCTTTCGCCCCACCCACAAAGCAAGGGGAGCCTTTCCTTGCACATATTGGTCATGGGAGCTCCCTTGGTCGCCCGTACCCCCAGTGTTTGCTGCCTCTGACTGTGGGGAGGTCCGTGATCTCCTAGTCTTTCTCTTCACCGTGCGTGATGACGTAGCATAGGTTCCTGTAGTCCAGGTTGCCACACACATCTGGCGGGAAAGCCGCAAACATCTGCTTGATCTGGGGAAGGAACCAGAGCCAAATAAAGGCCAGAGCAGGGGGTCACCCAGGAGTGTCAGAGTACAGATGGAAACACAGAGGCCAGGGTCCCACAGCCACCCCTCACCCTCATTTTTTTTGTTCTCATCCAAGGAGTCAAGGGAGACATCACTTCAGCATCTAAAGAAGAGTGACCAATGGTCCGGCAGGTGTGGCTCAGAGGGTGAGCTTCCACACATGCACCAAGAGTCGCCGGTTCAATTCCCTGTAAGGGCACATGCCCAGGTTGTGGGCCAGATCCCCTGTGGGGGGCATGCAGGAACCGGCCAACTGATGTTCTCTCTCATGTATGTTTCTATCTCGCTCCCTTCCTCTCTCTCTAAAATCAATAAAGAAAAAAAATTTAACAGTGCTGTGGGTGGGGTGGGGGCGACTGCTGAGAAGGGCTGGGCTGCGCCTCCCAGGAAGACTCAGCGGTGCTGAATGGCACCCTGAGAAGCCAGAGCTCACCTCCTCCTCACTGAACCGGTCTGCCTGGGTCATGAGCTTCTCTTTGATGCTGCTCAAGGGAGAAAAAGGGTCATGTTCAGGGGAAGGGCCACCCTGTGAATAGACACACAGATCCCAGGGGTGATGAGGGCAGGTGGGCTTGGGGGAGGAGTGCTGGCTCAGGAGGACCCCAATGAGGGTAGGGAAGGGAACAGGGTTGGCCCTGAAGCCCCCAGATAGTCTTGTGGGCTCAGGTGGCCACTTCAGCTGAGCCTCCGTTTCTTCCTTTGTAACATGGACTCTCCTCCCAGCATCAAGTGGGAACCAAATGAAATGACCTTGGGACTTCGACATGACCTTGGGGGCATGTCCCTTCATGCACCAATAATCAGCCTCGGGTTGCTGAAGGCAGCCTCTTTGCCTTTGTTCTAGATGCACTGCTGCCCCGGCTTGTGGTGGCTGCTGCGGCTGTGCAGGGCTCTACAGCGTCAAGGTGCTGACACCAGGGACGGGGAGGCCTATCCAGGTGCATGTCCTCCTGGGCCTGCCCAGGTGCCATTTGATATTCATGGCCCTGGGAAGTGATGCCATGAACTCCCTTTACAGAGAGGGAAACTGAGGCTGGGAAGGGGTAATGACTTGTGGCAGAGTGGGACCTGTCCCCCTGGGCAGTCCAAAGCAGCTGCTCACAGGAGCAGAACTGCCTGGGCTGGGAGGGGGAGATGAGGCATGGCAGGTGAGTCTGAGACTGTGGAGCGGGGGGAGGGTGCCCAGGGGGCCCTCAAGGAGAGAATGGGCAGGGATGGGCTCAGGAGGCTGAGCAGCAGCCCTGAGCATCCAGTGGCCTGTGGCGCCGGCAATGGCAGGCTCGGCTAAGGACCATGCACATTTTCCATTATTTATGTTATTGTAGGACAGTCACAGTTTCCAACTCTCCAGGCTGGGGACTTTTCACAGACTCTGTTTCAACCAGAGCCTCCTTATGGCCCCACTGGCAGACAGCCACATCTTCCAGGTCCCCTATCCCTGGCGGTGCCTTTAGTTCCCAAATTGGGCCCCCAAAGGGTTCCTCCCAGCCCTGGTCTTGCGTTGGTGGGAGTGAAGGTAAATGGTATAGAGGGGTTGGTCCAGGCTACTCCAGGGGTTGCCCAGGTACCTCCCCCAGGTTCCCAAGATGGGGGTGGGAACCATGGACCCTCAGGGAGAGGTGAAGGAGAGGGCTGCAGCCTGGAGAAACCCTCGTCACCCCCTCCCCTACCCCTCGGGAGTGAGTGACTCACAGCTTTGGGGGCTGTGGGACAGTTAGAATGTGTGAGAGACAAAACAGACTGTCCCCACTGCCCCCTGCCCTCTCCCACTGTATCTCCATTAAGTGATGATTCTAATAGGCTGCAAAACTAGTCTCAAAGCCAAGGCCTGAAGCATCATAGCAATTGGTTAGAAAGCCTGAGCCTGGGGAGGAAATCTTACCCGCCCAGGGTCTCCCACAGGCCCAGCAAGGCCTTGGAGGCTCAGAAGGGATAGCTCAGGGGTCAGTCAGTGTCCAGCCCCTAGACAGGCAGCCACTGCCCTGAGCTCTCCCACAGGGCTGGGGCTCCCAGGCATAGCAGACATCAGTGCCCCCACCTCTACACTGCCAGCCCAGTGATCTACTGGACAGTGGCCCACAGCCACCTTACTCTCTATGCATTCCCAGCTGAGCTGGTCCCTTCCATGGGCCCACCTCCATCCCGAATCCACTCAGGCCCTGGCTAACATCTGGCCCATTCCTCTCCCAGAAGCCTGGATCCCACTGGCTTTGACCTCTGGTGTTTCACTTACTCATCCACTCCCCTCCTCTTAATGGCCAAGACCTTCGTGGTGGCTGTAACCCTCTCCTCTTCTCCTCCAGCCTGGCTCCATGTTTCCCTGCCTGACTTCTCAGGCTCTCCTATGGCCCCAAGGCAGACCCAGGGTCCAGGGCCTGGTGAGTGAGCTGTCCCACGCAGGCCCGCCTGCCTCCCTGTGCTGTCTCCCCACCCCACAGCCCACGCCCCTTCACTAGCCTTACGCACGCCAAGCCCTGGCACTTTGCTTGCTGCGTTCCTGCACCTAGAACACTCGCTGCCTCAGCCCAGGCACCGTTAGCCATCCTTCAAGGCCACCTCTATCCCATCCCGTCCCCGCCACTGGGAAGCCCTCCCTGGTGACCTCAGACTCCCGGACACTTGCACACAGAGACGGGGCACTGCGGCCCAGATGGTTGAGCTGGGATGAGTCCTGGGCAGAGAGGAGACTGGGCTGCCACGCACTCAGATTCCACACCAGCTCCCTTATGACCTGAGACTTTGGAGAGAGAAAAACCAAAACGGAGGGCAGAGGAGACTTACAAATCCGCCTTGACAAAACCTTTCCCTTCAGTGTCGAACACCTTGAAGGCATGGAGAATGGTCTCCTCTGGGTCCGTGCCTAGAAGGAGCACACACAGGCAGGGAGAGCGCCAAAATGAAGGGACCGCAGGGGCTGGGCAGGTCCCATGGCCCCTGCAGAGGGCAATGGCTTGGGGAGCTTCCTCCCCAACATCCCCTCCACCGTGAGGGCCGGACCCACTTGAAGCACGAGAAGGGAGGCTTCAGGGAAGCAGGAATAGTGGTGATAGCACGGGCACAGTAGTAGTTATGCACAGCTAGCTGCACACGGAGACCCTGACTAAGCACGTAGTACGTGCTTAACCTGCTGACAATTGACAATTTCACAGACAAAGAAACTGAGGCTCAGAGAGGTTAAGTGATTTGTCCAGGTTCTCACAGCCGGTGCTGCCGTGTGATCAGTGAGGTGGGAGGGCAGCTCTGGCACTTTCTCATGACCCGGGCTTTGCCCGAGCGGCTGGGGGCAGAGAACAGGCGCTGCACTTGGGGCCAAGGCTGGAACTCAGGCAGTGGCCTTGGAGGGGTCTGCAAGAGTGTCTCGGCCAGAGGCAGGGCAGGTGGCCAACAGGCTGTGGGGTGCGGGCAGTGGGGAGGGGCAGCTCTGATTTTGTCCCTTTCATAGCATGGGCTTTAGGAAGAAAAGTCATTAGAAGAAATAGCTCTATTCCCTCAACGAGACTGAATAGCCAGGCCCCTGCTTGTGCAGAGGGAAAATGAGGCCCAGAGGAAGAAGGGTCTCGCCCAAGGCCTCACAGGTGGTGTGAATGACAGCAGGTGGCCTGGTGACGCATATGTGGTGCTCTTTTCCCTCTGTCACATTCTCCTCCCACTCACTGTGGGCAGGGGATGTCCCCTTCCTTTTTTTTTTAATCTTCACCCGAGGATATTTTTCTATTTATCTTCAGACAGAGTGGAAGGGAGGAAGAGAGGGAGAGAGAGAGACATCGATGTGATAGAGACACATTGATTGGTTGCCTACCCCCCCCCACCCCCCCACCCACACACACAATCCTGACCAGGGCCGGGGACGAACCACAACCAAGGAGCATGCCCTTGGCCAGAATCGAACCCGCGACTCATTGGTCTGCAGGCTGTGTCATTGGTGAAATGGAGAAAAAGGTGGTATTTACTGCCCACTTCCCAGGGTCAATTATGATAACGTATCATTAATGGTAAATATGGGAACAAACATTATTCCATCATGGCCTCAAACACATCTGAGCGCTCTGTACTAAGCTTCATCTTGCTGCTCACTGCTTTACCCTCTAGAGCCCCCAGAATACTCCACATGGTAGGTACTGATATCCCCAGTTTGTCAAAAAGGAAACTGAGGCCCTGGCTGGTTTGGCTCTGTGGTTAGAGCATTGTCCTGTGGTCCAGAGAGACCCAGGTTCAGTTCCGCTAAGGGCATGTACTGCAGTTGCAGTTTGTCCCCGGACCTGGTTGGGTCGTGTGGGTGGCAGCCACTCGATGTGTCCCTTTCACGTCGATGTTTCTCTCTCTCTCTCCTTCCCACTCTATCTGAACCAAAAATGGGAAAATGTCCTTGGGTGAGGATAAAAAAAAAAAAGGAAACTGAGGCTCAGAGAATCTCTGTTACTTGCCTGAGGCCCCCTAATAAGGGGAGGAAGAATTTAAAGCCAACTCTTTGGACCTCCAGAGCCACCTGCTTGTTCCAATCCTCTGCTCCTGCCCTTCAGACTGGGTCAGGTTCAGCTGTGTGCCCCCCATCAGAATGGTCAGGATCAGCTGTGTCTCCCCCTTCAGACTGGGTCAGGGTCAGCTGTGTGCCCCCCATCAGAATGGTCAGGATCAGCTGTGTCTCCCCCTTCAGACTGGGTCAGGGTCAGATGTGCCCTACCCATCAGACTGGGTCAGGGTCAGCTGTGTGCCCCCCATCAGAATGGTCAGGATCAGCTGTGTCTCCCCCATCAGACTGGGTCAGGTCCACCTATGTCTCCCACAACAGACTGGGAGCTCATCCAGGACAGAATGGTGTCTGGGTCGCTAGGCATCTCTGAGGCTGGCCCAGAATGAACAAGCCTGGCACAGTGCTGGCCCCACAGCCACTCTGCTTTGCAGACTTTGAAACTCATCAAATGAGTGCAGAGTGGCTACATCCTCCCATCGCTGTTGGGAATCTCATAACTATGTGTCCTTGTCCCAATTAAAGAGCTGAGACAGTGCCTGCCCCAGCCCTGGCTCCCTTTCTCCACTGTTGGCGGAGCGCGCAGGCTCAGCCAAGTTCGCTTGACGTGTTCAGTTGAAGCCCCAGTCCTGGTGTCCCTGCAAAAATGAGAAAAAGCTGCAAGCCTGTGACTCTGCCTGGTCCGGGTCAGAGCTCTTTGCTAGTCATAGACCAACACACCTCCCTTTAAAGCCCCCGGGTCACTGGCTACAGTCACACATGCCTTTCTCTGGGAGTGTAACCCCTGTCCCAAGTTCCTGGGCTTCTGAGCCCTTCCAGGAGGTAGTCGTGGTCTCAGGACAACCCCTACTGGCTGCCTGGAGGTGGACCCAATGGCACTCCTGAGTCAGCTGTCCCTGGTCACAGGTCAATTGCTGGCCTCCTTCTAATCTAGGATCAGCCAGGACATGGGGGGGGGGGGGGCAAGGGGCTATCGTACTTGCCAGCAGGTCAAAACCCATGAGAGTATTATGATTTTTTTGCCAAATAAAATCTGTGCAGTTAGGTAGGATTGCCCCTATAATGGTTCGAATCATGCCGCCCCCCCCCCCAAATATACCCATGTCCTTATCTCCAGAACTGGGAAATGTCACCTTTCTTGGAAAAAGGGTCTTTGCAGATGTCAAGAAAGGATCTTGAGATGTGGAGATGATCCTGGATTATCCAGGTGAGCCCTAAATCTATGACGTGTCCTAGCCACACAGAAGAGGAGCAGTGACCATGGAGGCAGGGATGGGGGCAATGCAGCCACCAGAAAATGGAAGAGGCGAGAAACGAGTTCTTCCCTGGAGCCTCTGAGGGAGCAGGACCTGCGGGTTGCAGGTTCTGGGCTTCCAAGCTGAGAGAACACTTTGCTGGCTTCTGAGCTGTCCAGTTGGCGCTCATCTGTTACAGAAGACTCGAGAAACCAACACAAGCTCATCTTGCAGACAAAAAACAGAGGTGCAAAGAGCAGACAAGCCTTGCCCAAGCTCACCCTGGGGCCTGTGGGGGGCTAAGTATTGAACCCAGATCTAGCAAAGAGAGGGAGGGCATCAGGCAGGGGCACCCTGCCAGTAGGGTGGCTACAAGGCCCACCTCCCAGGGCAGCTGCCACCCAGGCTGGTCCTTCCTCTGCCCATAGAACCCTCGAGCCCAGGGGATGGCACTAAGGGGCAGGGAGCAGCTCCCCATGGCCTGGAGAGAAAGGGACAGAGATGCCCTGACTCCCAACCCACTCTGCACCCCAGGCCTGACGTTGCATCTTAGGAGGTACAGTGGTTAGAGTCAGGAATCAGGGTTAGGTTCCATCCCTCCACTTTGATGCTGAGACACCTGGGGCTGTTGTGGTGACCTCTCTGAGCCCAAGTCTTCTCATCTGTGAATGAGACCCCTCATCCTTTCCCTGGGGGAGAACTGTGGTCAGCCACAGTAGCTTCAACCCCACCCCTCAAGCCCCTCCTGTCACAGTGAGCGGTGAGGCAGAGCCAGCAAGATGAGCCCAGGGCAGGGGGGCTGAGGCAGCGCCCTGAGGGAGGGCGAAGGGCTTGCACACTTCCCACCATTTTGTGGTGTAGAGGTAGAAACTGAGGCGGGGATGGGAAGGTGTGTGCTCCTGGGGGTGACACCATGCTCCCGGCTGGGGTGTGCACCAGTGGGGTGCACATCTGCACACAGGGCCCAGCCTGCCCACACCGTTCACTCCTCCCTCGCCAGGGCCACCTGGAGCCTCACTCACCCTTCAGCTTCTCCCCAAACATGGTCAGAAAGACTGTGAAGTTGATGGGCCCCGGAGCCTCCTTCACCATGGCCTCCAGTTCCTCATTTTTCACATTGATGCGGCCTAGGGGAAGGGAGGGGGGACACCCAGGGGCACAGTGAGGGTCAGAGGGGACTCTGCCTGCAGGCAGCACAGGAGAACAGAGCCCAGGACCACGGAACATCCTGCAGAGTCTCCCAGCTCTACTGTCCACCCACCCCCACGGGACCTCCGGGGGGAGCACATTCAGCCACAGTCAGCACTGGGCCGCCCCCAGCATCACCACCCACTGCCACCACCTCAGCCTCCCTGGAAAGGAAAGCAAGTTAGTTGTTTGTCATCCCTATTTTACAGATGAGGACACTGAGGCTCAAAGAAACTGAAGCTGAGGTGCATAGGGGCTGGAAGACCTGGGCCTTAGGCTCATTTGTCCCTGGAGGGGGCAACATGTTGCCAGGAAGTTGGGACTCGGATTTCTCATGGTTCCAGGGGACAACCAGGTCTCTGGGAGCTCAAAGCTCAGTCCAGACTTGACTTGGTTCTGCCCCCTTCCTCCACCCAGTCCCTGAGGCCCCCTTCAGGCCCCTCCCTGGGTCTTAGAGGGTGCAGAAGCCTCGGCTGGGAGCCGAAACCTGAAACCCCTGAGACCCGCACACATCTCCAGCCTCTACTCAACCTGAGGCGTCTCTTGACCCCTCACCTCACACCAGCCTCTCAGCCCTCACCTCTGCACAGGCCATTCCTGCACCTGAAATACCCTCCCCCCTTCCCCCGCAAGTCCTGTACCAACCAGAGACCCTTCCTGACTTTCCAGTAGCAAGCCTGCCTTCCCTGCACCCCCAAATGACTCATGAGCCGCTTACACCCACTGCCCCAGCCACTCACTCTTTCTGGGTGGCCAGCTCTGCCCCAAGCCCCCAGCCTCCCTGGCTGCTGGGCACCCACCCAGGGCAGCAAATGTGTCCCTCAGGTCCTCCTTGTCGATGAAGCCATCTCGGTTCTGGTCCATGATGGTGAAGGCCTGGCAGAGACACAGGCCCGAAAAGTCACCCTCCCATTCACCCAACCCAGCTTCCCTCACCAGAAACAACCCCCCTCCCCAAGGGGCTGTTCTGCAAACTGCTGCCTGGCCAACCTCAGCACGGGCCCCTCTGGCCATCCCGTTACCCAGCTCAGCGTGACACCAGCGTGACAGCGGTGGCTAACCCACACTGAGCTCTTACTGTGTGCCAGATCGTTGCTGGGGCTTCATGCCCATCCCTCATTCCATGTTCACAGCAACCCCCTTTTACAGAGAGGAAAACTGAGTCTCAGAGAGAGGAAGGACTTGCCCCAGGACATACAGCAAGAAAAGGCTCAGGGAGGGCTCAGGACTGCCCAAGGACAGCAGTCACATCTGCAGGCTCTGAGGCACACCTGGTGGCCACTACGAATAGTGTAGTCATCACTCCTCAGGGACTGAGGGCTGATCCCAGCCCTTACTGGCTCCCCAAGTGATGCCTCTGCATCGCATGAATCCTCCTCCCAATGGCCCCAGGGGTGCACTGACCAACCTCTTTAAACTCCTGGATCTGGGACTGATCAAACATGGAGAAGACGTTGGAGCTGGCTCCACCTTCTGTTCTTTTCCGGGCTCTTCTTGGTGCCTGCGAGATACCAGGTGAGGCCTTGCAGAAGCCCCTTCCTTGGGAGATCAGCCATCCACCACCTCCCAACCTTCATGCCTCATCTCCCACAGTGTCATTGTCCTGAATGACATGCCCCCTCTCCACCCCCACCCCAGCCCAAAGCAGGCAGGCAGGCAAAGCTCCTAATGAAGCCTTGCAGATAAGCAGGGTGGTTTCCCAGCCCACAGGAGTGCCCACCCCATGGGGCCAGACAGCTGCTTCCTGACCTGGGTCCCCGGGCTCCGGAAGGCTGGAGGTCTGCGCCCAGCCTGTGAAGCAGAGAGGGGCATCTTTTCTAGCATCAGACTCCAAGCGGGGCACCTCCTCTCCTGCCATCCTCCCCAGTGTTCTCAGGATAACATTTGGGCTCCTCAGCCCAGTGAGATCTGTCCGTTGCCCCTCCCCCAGAGCTTCCAGCCCTACCCACCCGGGTCACCCACTCGGCCCCAAACCTGCTTTCTTCTCTCCCAACACTTGCTCCTGACATTCCGCTCCCTGGAATACCATCCTTGCCTTCCATCTGGTAGAACCCTCATCCTCCTGGCTCCGCTCATCTGCCACCTCCTCCGAGAAGCCTTCCCTGACCCCCAAGCCCATTGAGAGTTCCCTGATTCTTCCCTCCCCACCAGTCTAGGGCAGCCACACCTCAGCCTGCCATATCTCTGTGCCTGTTCATCTCTGAGGTCCCCTGCCCCACCCAAGCTCAGAGTGGGGATTGGTTTGGAAATAGCTACTCAAAGCTCAGGGGTGAGCTCCCCAGCAGAGCGAGCCGGCGACCACCCACATGGAATAATTCCAGGACTTCTTTTAGGGTGTTATGGTGCCTGGAGTCCACTACTGAGCATTCACTGAAAGCTCTTAGTCTTCAAGAACCTCTGAGGAGACCTTGCCCTCAGCAGCCATCACTAGGCCCCCCTCCCTCTGTGTTCAAGGAGCCCCTGAACTGGCTCAGAGGGGTGGGACAGACACAGGCTTCCTGCTCCCATTCCCCCACCCCACCCCCACCCCCACCCACTGCCTCCATCTCAGCCTGTACCACCTTCCTGCCCAGCTCTGTCTACCCATCCCCAGAGCATGGGCTTCCTGTCCCCCCACCCCCAGTGCCTGTGTGGTCTCCCCTCCCCCAGCTCACTCCTGTCCCACCACCCAACTTCCCCACCCCGGCACTCGCCCCCACTTCCCTCCGGCGCCTGGGCTCGCTTCAGGAGCAGCAGCTCGGCTGACTTATAATTAGCTTTTACTGGGTGCTTTGTCTCCACTAATCCTTTGAAAGGGGGGCTGGCAGGGCAGCCAGGACATTATGATGCCGTAAAACCTCTGTAATATTTATAAATCCCTTCAGACATCATAAAGAAAAGAACCTCCCTGCAGAGTTCATCTCACATAATTACATATACATTTCCCTCTGATTAATAAAAACGATCACTTCCGTCTGTGGGATATGCTGCCCTTTCTCCTCCTCAGACCTGCCCTTGGCCTCCGCGTCACCCATCCCTGCCTTCCCAGCCTTCCGTGACCGTGTTGTGAAACGTCGCCCTACTGTGTGCCAGGCCCTGTTTGGGAACCTGCAAAGCAAAACGGAGGCTCATGGCCCTGACCTGCCCTCTGATCGCCCAGCCTGGACCCTTTGCAACCCAGCTGTCTTGGGGCCTCCCTTTTATAATGTGCTCCTGAAAAATAAAAATCCCCTGAAAAGAACACCTCAGGGGAGATGGGGATAGCCCAGACCTGAGTTCTAATCCTGCCTGTGCTGCTCACAGCCTCTGTGATGTTAAGAAAATCAGTTACAGGCCCTAAGCCTCAGTTTCCCCATCTGTGCCTATCTCAAAGCATCAGGACATTAACTAGGTACCTACGGATCTCCAGCCAGGCCCTCTGCCCAGACCCAGGGACCCAGAGCTGAATCAGGCCCCATCCTTGTCCCCAAGGAGCCCACAATCCAGCTGGGTGACAGACAATGAGTAGAACCTAATGGAGGGAAGGACGGGAGGCCTGAGAACACAGAGAAGCCCCTCTGCCCCTAGGGCCCTCAGGGCAGACCTCCACAGGAGGTGGCTTCGGAGCTGGGGCCTGACAGCCCAAGTTCTCAGGCCAAGAGGGACTGATGAGGGTGTGAGACGGGCCTGGGAGAAGAATGCCCTTGAGAGCCGGCGGGGAGGCCCAAGGGGCCGGAGCACAGGGGCAAGGCAGGACAGCAGGGCAGGCCCCACCTGGGCTGAAGGACCTCGAAGCAAGGCCAGCAGAGGACTTGGGCTGTCCTGGAAGTCCAACCCGACCCACAGGAGTCATGTCCTTTCAGCGGGGGCAGAACCCATTTCTGCTGTGAAAAGTCTAAGCGTGGCCCGCCCTGTCTCCCTTCGCCTTCCTCCTCCTCACCCTCCCCTTCACCTCAGCAGCCCCTACCCAATCCAGGGAAGCAGGCCCGAATCAGGACCCACGAGGAGGGACTGGTCACCCATCAAGGGCCACGCAGGATGAGCCAGGTGCAGGCATGACATGAAGGGTAAGGAAAAAGGTCAGGACCAGGGACATCAGGTCAAGGGCAAGGATGTCAATGAAGGGAGCAAGGTCAAGATCAGGGTGAGTTCAGGCAATGAGGTGAAGGTCAGAATCACAAATGAAGTCAAGGTCACAGGATGAGGTCAGGGTCAGGAGGCAGGGCAGCCCTAGCCTACCATGGTCTGGAGTGTCTCTTGAGCTGCAGCAGGGCTGGGGCAGCTCAGGGATGGCTCTTTAAATAGTGTTCCAGGTCCGGACAACAGCTTGGAAGGTGACAAAAGAGAGGATGAAGGCCTGCCTGCCAGACACCTGTCTGGGACATTCAGAGTGGGTGAGGTTGTGGGATCCAGCGACAGTCCAAGCCACGAAGCTCTCCACCAGCACTGGGCCAACCGGATCTTTGTAGCCAAGGGCCCAGGGCCCAGGAAGGGGCTCTTGGCTAAAGACACACAGTAAGTTGAGGCCTGGAACCAGCTGGGAAGACTTGGCCTCAGGCCATGCAATGTCAAGAGAGCTCTGAAGGCAGGGCCACCCACACCAGCTGGGGAAATTCATAGCTGTCACATGGCCCGACCCCTTACGTGTGCAACTCTGGGTAGGACACCATCCTCCAGAAGGCCGTCTTCTCACATGAAAAGTGCGTAGCATGCCTGGCCAGTGTGGCTCAGTGGATTGAGCATCGTCCCAAGGACTGAGAGGTCCCGGTTTGATTCCCAGTCGGGGTACATGCCCGGGTTATGGGCTCAATCCCCAGTGTAGGGGTGTGCAGGAGGCAGCCAATTGATGTTTCTCTCTCACTTTGATGTTTCCATCTCTTCCTTCCTCTCTCTCTAAAAAATCAATAAAAACATATCCAAACAAGAGAAGCGCACAGCATGTGACACCCCCTGGTCAGTTCTTGGAGAGAATTTCTGCATCAGCCTGGCCCTGTGGTTATGAGGACCATCATCACCCACCCCAGCCCTCCAGCCCTCCTCAGGGAGTTGAAAAGCAGAGACAAAAGAAACAGAGGTGACTCTGACAAGGGAGACTTGAAAAATCAGATCTCCATTGCACTCTGGCCACACACATATCTGGACATGCTCCATCCTCACTAGGCTTGGCCCAGCCCGGGAGCTCTCCAGCACATGGGGGAGCTGAGCCTGCACCTGCCCCTGGCAGCCCCCACCCCGTGTGTCCAGCGCAGCCTGGCTGCCCCATCTGTCCAGACAAGTCGGCCCCCAGTCTCTCTGATCAGTTGCCAGGGCCGGCAGTGCAGAGCTCAGGCAGTGAGCCCACTCGTCCCCAGGCTCAGGACAGCTTAACTGTCCCTGGAGCCGGCCTCAGGCCTCCACACCCTGGTAAGACTGATCTCCTGCCTTGGGGGAGGGAACGTGATGATGATGATAAGAAGAGTAGCTAACATTTATTAAACACAGAAAGTCAGGCTATGTTCTAAAATGTGTTTTCACATTCAATCCTTACCTCATTTTCCAAGTGAGGAAACTGAGGCACACACAGGTAAGTCACTCACCCAAGGCCCCTCTCTCTAGCGGTTCCAGAAGGAAGCTTCAGGAGGTATTGACCATCCCAGGGCTCCCGTCCCAGAGCCATCCCAGAGTGGCTGACTGTGACCAACCCCTGTGACCTCCCTGAGACTGGAGCTAGAACTCTCTGCCCTGAGCTGGGACCAGGCTTTGCCATGCTGTCCCCTGTCAGGGACCAACCACAGGCCTGGAACCCACAGGCTGGGGTGAAGGGAACTGCCTCTGGGGGCAGTCGCCCGGAATCCAGTCCCGGCCCTTCCACGACCCGCGTTGGGAGACGAGCTATGTGAGCGAGACAGGTGCCTGCCTATGCGGAGGGGCAGGTGGCCGCCATCTGCACCAGCCCTGAGGAGCAGCCTTTTCCTGCCCTGTCCATGAGCTTGGCCCAGGTTCTCCTGGCTCTGGCTTGCTGAGCAGGAGAGATGATACCATCCGGGGCGCTGTCTCCTGCTTCCCGCTGGCCAGTGGCCTCCTCACACAAGGACTGGATGCCCCTAAGCTCCTGCCTCTGGAGATCTTGGCCCAGGACCAGGGAGGGGTTCCTGAGGCCCAGGGCTGCTCTTAGCCAGCTAGCCTGTGGGAAGGGGGAGAGAGAAATGGAGAGGAATCACCGTGAGGTGGGGTAAGGCACAACACAGTTCACAAGCGCTTGGCAAATTCATCCTGACAGTTTCCTGCCCTGGCCTCCTTCTCCTTCGTATTACTGAAGCAGGAAGAGCTGGTCAGAAATCTGGTGGGACTTGTGGAAGCCACAGGGAAAGAGGGTTGGGAAACATTTGTCCCTGGGGCACAGGGGAGGGGAGCAACAACCCTGAGAAGGGGAAGCTCAGTTCTGCCCTCGCCGCGGGAACTTCCCTCTGTAACACGCAGACCCTTCGTCTCCACATCTGAGAACCAGTGCTAGCGGCCCAGCATCCTGGCCCCGTACTGTGGGAAGTCACTGGCTGGGATTTGGAGGGCAGACCCCCCACGTGGAGTGAGTCCTTGATGAAACCTCACTGCCACCGTCCCCCGTCAGCAGGGTGGGTCTGTGGTGGGTCTGTTGCCATCGTTGGGTCACATCGTTTGGTTCAACTGACTACTGTGCAAAACTGACTACCATAACCACCAATTCTTGGGGTCAGAGAGACCCCTGAGGGGTCTGTGCGCCTAGCCAGGGCCTGCTGGGAGCAGGCAGCCTCGGAACTGGAATTCTAGTTGGCTCCAGGGAGTCAGAAGAATACTCAGCCCCCTGTGAAGGGCCCTTCACTTTCCAGACAGAGGACACCCAAGGTCCC